TATGCGGTTGCGTGTATGTTGGTCGTTCCTTTATATATAAAGAGGGGCGAGAGCATTTTTTAGTAAATTCATTTGTTGGCCCGTGGCAATACACGAGCAGTCTACTAGTGAACAGTAGTGCTCGGATTTGCCATCTCTGCACCGTCGGATTGGTTTCATCCAACGACCATCTTTCAAAATTATTCACACACTATATACGAGTATAAATATATTCAGTCAAAAAAGGGAGCTCCTAGACGCACAGGGGGCGCCGCGACTGGGCCGGCGCACTCCAGGGCACCGAAGCTAGCTAGCTAGCGCGAAAGAAAAAGAACGAGGTGAAGGAAGGGAATCAAACTCAAAGTTATTCACACACTATATACAAGTATAAATATATTCAGTCAAAAAAGGAAGCTCCTAAACGCACAGGGGGCGCCGCGACTGGGCCGGCGCACTCCAGGGCACCGAAGCTAGCTAGCTAGCGCGAAAGAAAAAGAACAAGATGAAGGAAGAGAATCGAACTCAAAGTTATTCACACACTATATACAAGTATAAATATACTCAGTCAAAAAAGGGAGCTCCTAGACGCACAGGGGGCGCCACGACTGGGCCGACGCACTCCAGGGCACCGAAGCTAGCTAGCTAGCGCGAAAGAAAAAGAACAAGGTGAAGGAAGGGAATCGAACTCAAAGTTATTCACACATTATATACGAGTATAAATATATTTAGTCAAAAAAGGAAGCTCCTAGACGCACAGGGGGCGCCGCGACTGGGCCGGCGCACTCCAGGGTACCGAAGCTAGCTAGCCAAACAGCTACTATTGACATTTCGCATCGCAAAACGTACAAGAAGTGAGTATACCTGCGCATTCACTGTAGCACCTTGTTTGTTGTACCTTATGGATTTCTAAATAATTTGAAAATCTTATGAAAACACACATACAGTTTTATGAAGAAAGGAAATGCGAATAAATTTGAATTTTTTATACATATTTTTTGTAAAACCCCAATGATTTTTGGAAATTCCAAAGATTTTTTCAAAACTCAGACTAAGTTTGAAAAGACGAACATTTTCTGAAATACGAATATTTTTTGTAAAATGGAACATTTTTAAAAATTCCCATACACATTTTGAATTGTGAATTTTTTTAGAAACATGAATAAATTTCAAATTCGTGAACAAAATTATAAAACCGCGAACATTTTTTGGATCTGTGAACAAATTCTGAAACTGCGAACATTTTTCAAGTTGTGAACAAATTTTGAAACATGAACAAATTTCAAAATCGTGAAAAATTTATAACATTTTGACATTTTCGAATTCTGAACAAATTTTGAAACCATATTTTTTCTAATTGTTAACAAATTTTAAAACATGAATATATTTCAACTTCGTGAACAAAATTAGAACATTGTGAACATTTTTCGAATCTGCGAACATATTTTGAAAACCGTGAACATTTTTGAATTGTGATTTTGGAACATGATCAAATTTCAAATTCATGAATAAAACTATAAAGTTGTGAACATTTTTTCATTAAACCGCGAACATTTTTTGAATTGTGAACAAATTTTCAAATATGATGACATTTCAAAATTCGTGAACAAAATTATAAAATTATGAACATTTTTCAAATTGTGAACAAATATTAAACCCGTAAACTTTTTTAATTGTGAACAAATTTTGAAACCATGAACAATTTTCGAATTATGCACAAACTTTGAAAAACCGTGATTTTTTTGAATTGTGCACAAATTTTAAATTAATAAAAAAGGAAATAGAAACAAAAGAAAAAACAGGAAAAGGAAAATGAGAGAAAATAAAAGAAAAAACCGATTCAAGGAACCTTCTAGAAGTTTCCCAAAACCAGAAAAATCAGCTGGGAACCTCTAGAAGGTTCCGAGAACCGGGGGCGTTGGAACGGTTAAACGGGCCAGCCCTATGCGAAGCGCCGGCAGTTTGACGCAGCGAGCGGCAAATAGCATTTTTCCAAAAAAAAGAGCCTACTAGTGGGCGAATCTGGAGGCAGCAAAGCCAGCCCATACCGTGTGAAAAGTAGGCCCAAAGTGAACGCGGCTCCTCCCACGAACCCGCTGCGCACTTGTCTGTTGCCCTATTACGTTCGGGCGATTTGATAATTTGCCACCCCTTACTTTCCCCTTTCACAATTTGCCACCCATTGTCTCAATGACGGGCGGGCCCGGGCCCCACCTGTCATTCTCAGGGGGGGCAAATTATGAAAGGGGAGGTAAGGGGTGGCAAATTATCAAATTTGCCATTACGTTGGGGTCCGAGTGGTCAGTGGTCATAAACCCTTCTCCCTCCTCAGCCTCCTCTTTCCCCCTCTCGAAAGACTGCGCGGCCGCGAAGCCAAACCCTAGCCTCCGCCCCCCCTCGAATCCGCATCGTCTTCAGGTACGACTTTTCCTCCCAGTCTCCTACTGTCTTCTGTGCTAATCACTAGTATAGGTTTTATTGGGAGGTTCTTTGCTGTTCCGTTTGGATTGGGGAGACGGACCATGCTCTGTTTGGATTGGGGAGATGCGGGGGGAGACATATCTGTTCTTTTTTGTCCGTGTTGCTCGTAGGATCTGACTGACACGCCCTTCTTTGGTTGCAGCGGGGAGGGATGAGCAGGCGCTGGAGCAGGACGATCTATGTTGGCAACCTCCCTGGGGATATCCGGGAGAGGGAGGTGGAGGACCTCTTCTACAAGGTCTTGCAATTCATTTCTGTCATTATGTTGTAAAATAAGGAATTTGCGCTAAGCTCTCTGTTAAGCCATGTTCGCTAGATTCATCTCTGTGATGCGGTTATTCTTGTTCCCAAATTAAATTAGCAGTACGATTTGTGCAATTTAATGGGATGTAGAATATGGTACCGTTGTGCAAAAAGAAAGCAGAGACAGTAGAAGTACAGTTATTTGAGAAGGCTGATGCCTCATGTACCTTCCAACTTTCCTGAATCTCAAGTCAGGATCTGTGCTCCAGGATGTACTAGTTTTCTACTGCTGAATTTGCGTGTATGATTTTGTTCAAAGGTCTAATATTGTCAGCCTTGTTCATGTAGTATGGCCGTATTGTTGATATTGACCTGAAGGTTCCTCCAAGGCCGCCTGGCTATGCTTTTGTTGAGGTAATATACCACCTAATGCTCTTGATAGTGCTCAGTCTATTTTGTTCTCCTGTTGAGACATCATTGCTGTATTATACAACGTGGGCACAAACTGATGATAAGCTTATATATAACTTTGTAGTTTGAAGATCCTCGTGACGCCGAAGATGCCTGTGCTGGAAGGGATGGGTACAACTTTGATGGAAATCGTCTAAGAGTAACCACACTATAGTCTTAACAACTTACTCCATTCAAAGTCTCTAATTTCTCTGTGTAATGCCCACTTCTGTGTGGTGTGTGCAGGTGGAACCTGCTCATGGTGGGAGAGGTAGTGGTGGCCCCTCTCATGATCGTTCTAGCAGCTTTGGTGGTGGTGGTGGTGGCGGCGGCGGTGGTGGACGCCGGGGTGTCTCCAGGCACACGGATTACCGTGGTATGGTTTTTTTACAAATAATATTGAAAATGATGCTAAGTACCCAATCCTCTGCCAGCAATCTTAATCTCTGCAATATTGTGCACAGTTCTGGTTACTGGCCTGCCTTCTTCTGCATCCTGGCAAGATTTAAAGGTTTTATTATCATCTGTTCTTTCTTGATTTTAGCTGTAAAATGTTTTCTTTCATGTGAGCAAGTAATATTTGCCTGAATAATCTCTGCTCAGGACCATATGCGAAGGGCTGGTGATGTTTGTTTCGCAGAAGTGTATCATGAAGGCGGCGGTAAGCCTGATTTTGAGCACACCTTTAGTTTAAACTAATTGACTTGCGTTGATTTAACACTCATCTAAACTATTAAGAAGCAGTGAACTATGTGCTTAATGTGATAACTCTGGAGCTATTTTTACAAAGGGAAAGTTCAGTCCCAGATCCATTCTGAAATTCCTATCTAACCCTCAACTCACATCCGATCATTTACCACCACCTGTAAGAATAACTCCTCAAGCATGTGAAATCTGAATAGCTAAGAAAAAATTGAAGCAGAATTCCTATTACCAGCAAATGCATTCTACTAATAGGTTATTCAAGACATTTTTTTGTTCCGTTTGTCCAGAACCCAATGCTTAATCAAGTCTGACAAAACTAAGCACTCATATTACCTGAAATGGTCCACAACAAAATACCGTTTGTTTCTGTTTATATTTCTATAAGAAGAGGGTTTTCTTCATCAGGACCAGTGATTTGTTCCCTTTGTGCTTCTGTTGATGGCAGCAGCTCTTACTGTACTTTAAGGCACTTTCTGACTTTATGTGCATGTTATGCCATATTTCATTTGTGGCTTTATGCTTTGTATTTACTACCATGCCATTTTTCCTTTCCTTTATGCATATAGTACTCTGAAGCAATAATGATTCCTTGTATATTTATTGTCTTGACCTGTGTTTTTATATTGTTACAGGCACCCTAGGAATTGTTGACTACACAAACTATGATGATATGAAATATGCTGTAAGTCTGTATTAATCTGTTTTATTGTATCCTCTCTAATTCATTTGTCTATTTGTATCAAGGTTTTCATCCAATGACCATTTCTGGTACTAATTTGGATGCCTGAAAATACCTAACTATTGCACTGTATAGGAATCTGTTATACTGTTACTGTGTTATACTAATTAGTAGTTCTTGTCGTTCTCTTTCTATGTTTTTTATTTCTAATTACACCGTCTTGGCTGTTGACTATCGCTTGCAGATAAAGAAACTGGATGACACTGAATTTAAGAATGCATTTTCTAAAGGTTATATAAGGGTAAGCACTTGCTTGAATCCTAGTCAGTCCTGGGAATCTGGTTCATGAGGCTAACCATATGCCTTCTCTGCAGGTGAAGGAATATGATGGCAAATGTGGGCGCTCCTACTCACGTAGCCGGAGCCCAAGTCGTAGCCGCAGCAAAAGCAGGAGCCCAAGGTTTATATATCGTATTATGATGGTGTCCTTTTTATTCTGTTTTATAAGTATCTTAATTGTATGAAATTGTTATATGCAGCAAATCTCCCAGGGCCCGCTCAGCATCTAGGTCCAGATCAAGGTCTCGTTCTTCCCGTTCTTGTTCAGCATCAAAAGGACGTTCTCCATCAAGGTAATATACATTGATTGTAGTAGATTCCCAACCTCCAAAATAGTAGTACTCTACTACCCTTTCAGGTGTACAACATGATCTAGGCTTCCTGTCATATTTACTTGTATTCTACTCCCTTCGTCCCATAATATAAGAGCGTTTTTGACACTACACTAGTGTAGAAAGCGCTCTTATATTATGGGATGGAGGGAGTATATTTGTTGATTCATTTGCGAAGAAGCTTGTTAGTTTGAAAACAATTGTGTACTAAAGAATGAGTTGTTCTGTCATTTCAGCCTATTGGCTGTAGTAGTAATGAAGTTCAGTTATTTGATTATCTTCCCAGACACCTTTGATAATGTTGGCACATGATAATTTCGGACTGCATGGGGATTCCCTTCTCAAGAACTCAGTTTATGCTACAAACGATATGAACTGCTTAGATTCTTGTGTTTTTTGAAGACCATTCTTCATTTTATCTGGGATTGTGCGGCGATCTGGGGATTGCACATTAGGATATTGAGGATGGAATTTGCTACAATTGTGTTGGTTGTATGAGGTATGCTCATTTATTGAGGGCTTCTATGGAAAGCTAAAATCACCCTATTTTTCTTACCTAATGTACTGTAACTGATTACCATCAGAGCTTGGGCATAGCACATTTTTTGGAATTCTGGACATAAGAGCCTTAAGGAATGACGATATGGATTATGATGGTACAGTGACTAGGAATTTGCTTGGGAGTCCAATGCATGAGGAATGAGTTTGCTTCCTACTTGTACTCTCCACATGGTTGTAGTTTGCATGCACTAATTGCATTCAGTACCAGATGTTTGCATTTCCTTGAGCTCTTTTCGCTTTCATTTGGTTAGTCCAATACCGGGTGAGGCATGAAGGCTTTTTTGACTCAAGCTGACATAAAGGTGCATTCTGGATATTGAATTCAGTTGTTTGTGGAACTTTTTGCAGATCACCAGCAAGATCCAAATCCCCAATAGCTTCTGTAAGTTTCTTTATGTTTCCTTATTATGTTGTTTCTACCCTATAATGTTTTTGGAGCTTTTGCAGATCACCAGTATTATGGATCTCTTTCATTTTTGTTTTTTACTTGTGTTGTTTCTACTCTAATGTTTGTTCCCAGCCGGCAAATGGTGTAGTGGCAAGTCCAGCGGCAAGCCTGAAGAAACGCAGTCCAAGCAGGAGTCCATCTCGGTCACGGTCACCTGATGTAAATGTTGTTCCTTGTCTACATGTCCCTTGAAGATCACGGCATGGCTGCTCTGACTAACTTGCCCACATTTTCAGGCGAAATCTGAATAGAAGCACTGCACCGGGGCAGATGAGGCGTGTGCTCAGGTCTAGATATTTGTTGTCCTCTATGCTTCTTGAGAATTACCTGGATGTCAGCAACTGTTCAATGAGTCTCCTTTATTGTGTGAACAATGTCAACTTGTATTGCTGAAGACATCGAACTAGCACTATCATATGCGATGCCTGCAGCCAGTCTTTCAGTCAACTTGTACTTTGTCTGTTACCCTTAAGTGGATGTATCTAGTACTAACTTGGAGTTAGACACATCCATTTGAGGGACAAGCTTGGGACAAGCTTTTGGATATAGGGAGTATTTCGTGGATTTTGTTCAAAAATCATGCAAGACGTTTGTGTATTCATGTTTCATGCTTTTTCTCACCAGTATTCCTGTTATCATCGTTTTACGGGCCAGTTCTTTTCGGCGATTCTCTCAGAATCGCCATCCTCAGCTTCTTCCAGAATCGCCACTCCATTTTTTTTTACAATCCTATCTAGTTAAGGTCTAATTAGATAGGATTGTAAAAAACATATGAAGTGATGATTATGGGAGAAGCTGGGGAGGGGGGCGAATCTGGTAGAATCGTCCAAAAGAACTGGCCCTTACATCGTCTGCTTGTATAAGCTTGTAGTCTGTTCTGAATTAATTGAAGTTCTAGATTTGTCCTAAGTTTTTAAGTTTGACCAAGTCTAGAAATATATATGAAACTTTTTAACACCAGCTTAAAATACATTTTTGTACAGATTTTTTTTGTTTAGGACAACAAAAAACATCAATTAATTCAGGGCGGATGAAGTAATAAGGAATCGCTGCCCTATAAGGCTTTGTAGCTTAATTAGGCGCGTCTGAAGAAATAGGCATTGGTACTTAAAAAAAATTCGGTTTATTTTTTCAAGCACCTCTCTAAATACCTAAAATTGTACAAGGCCTTCAAGGAGGACCTTTAAACCTTTACTGTATGTTTGGGCAACCACTTTTGCCATTTAATGGGCATCTGGGGGCTTTGTTGGAGTTTGGACATTGCATTTACTAATCACATACATGGTCTCTTTATTCTTTCTCTTTTCATCCGCACATGCATGGTCCGTTCTCTCTCTTCTTCCAATTGAACACTAAACCATAAATATTCCACCACATGCACGATGCCCACCTAGTTTCTCATCCCAACCGAATACTTTGTGATTAACATTGGATGGTTCATGGGTCGGCGTTTGAGATGCCCTAATACGACATCAAGAAGTCTTTGGAGTAAAATTTAGGGCGTCAAAAAATGCTTTTTGGGCCACGAGAAAGTGAACATCTCCAGTAAATGCTATAAAATAGGACACCATTGTTTCCAACTTGACATTGCATACTTCAATTTAGACATTACATTCAAAAGTTTAAAGATGCAGTGTCCAAAAGTTCAAACTTACGATGAGTAGATTACATTCTCTTTCCGAGTCGCCCCCGCAGGCGATGGGAGGGAACCCTAGCCGCTTCCTAGCGCCCCTCCTCCCGCTCCTCCCCTGCCGCCACCAGAGGGCGTGTCCGGACGAAGCACGTCCAACGCCGGCAGTAGCAGGGCTCTTTCGACCCCTCGCGCGTGCCAATGCGGAGGGTTGTGGCGGTGCGACCGGCTTCCTAGCGACTATGTTGGGAGGCAGGTGGCGCGATTGTGGCCTCCGGTGGTGGGGCATGCTAGGTCTTGGCGGCAGCAATGACCTGGCCCAGATCCATGATCCCAAGCACTAGGTGGCGCGGGCTGCGGACGACGATGACGACTGGCTGGTGCTATCTTCTGGGCAGTAGTGGTGGACGACGATGGTGGATCGGGGCTGCCGTGGCGATCCTCGGTGTTTCGACGGCTGCGTGCGTCTACTTGGTGAGGCACCATACGGTTCGAGTCGGCTACTAGGTCGGGATGACGTGACTACCAGTGAAAATCGCGTTGACTTCGATCTTGACGGGCGATGACGACTTCATTGACGTCTTTCCTTGTTGAGGCATCGTCATCTCCCTCTGGCTGCTCTAGGGGAAACCCTAGATCTGGGTCTTCCAGGATCAGACGATGACGGCATCTTCGATGCCATTCTCCCTCATGAGGGCATCGTTCTGGAGCAGGCGCTGACTGGAAGAGCCCAAAGGTGGAGCGGGGTTTCATCTTCCGCATCGATGATGTTGGATCTCGGTAGCATGGTGTCGTGGAATTGTCACGGCAGATGTCCTAGTGTGAGGACTTAGTCGTGAGGCCAACGCATCTATGTGGTAGCTTGAACGGGGTTGGTAGGAATCGAGAGACGCGAGGTTTTATCCAGGTTCGGCCCCTCACGGTGGAGGTAAAAGCCTACATCCTGCTTCATTGATATTGATGATCATCACGATTACAGGGGTGCTCTATCTTGAGAGCTATTGACTTGTCCGTCTATCTAGACTTATGAAACTTGTGGAACCTGTCCCTCTTGGGGAGCCCTGCCCCTCCTTATATATGTTGAAGGGGCGGTTTACATGACTAGTCCTATTAGGATTAGGATTACTCTATTACAAGTGGAGTCCTAGTCTTGCTTCCTTTGTAAGGGAATATTCCTTATGCTTTCCTCTTAAACCGGCCCGCCATAGCTTGAGCCGGACTTCCATGAACCGCCTTATGGGCCGCCGGGCCTTGTCGTCCGCCTGACCCGCCCGCCGGGTTACTAATGAGCCACCAAGATCGGGCGGGTTACCCGTGAATCGCCAAGCTCCGGGTGGGTCACCAGTGAGTCGCCAAGATCCATCCGGGTCATACGTCCAGCCGGGTTACACCGCTTGGTATATCCCCGACACATGGTGCAGTGGAGTCTCGGCGTTCGATGCGAGTTGAGGGACTCCCGCAGGAGGACGACGTTGTCTGGCGTCGTGGTGGCGTCGGCAACAGGCCTGTCAAGGTTGACGTGTCAGTTCCTGTTCTGAAGACGGATAGTGAAAGACGGCGGCCGTCGCCTCTAAGAGTGCACTGGACCGGTGTGTGCCCCAGACCCGACATTGTGGCTTGGTTGGGGCCTCCGGCTTTAGATGTTAGGCTTTGGTGCGAAGTCTGTTTGGTATTCGGCTCAGATTTTTGGCACCCCTTCATCAAGTACATAGGAGTAGCGACACATGTTGCTGAGATGGGAGCTTCAGACTTACTGATGTATTACTTTGTAAGGTATTTGTGAATAATTAATAGAGTGCATGCCTGCATCGCCCAGATGCAGAGGCCGGGGGTCATCCTCCTTTTCTAAAAGAAAAATTCGAACTAACATATCAACACCTACATGCTACTCATACATGGAAATTTAGAAATTCACCATATAAGCAGTACCACCTACATACTCCGCAAAAATTCAGAAACGCAACGATTAAACACATGATACAACCAAAAGTTTTTTCACCATAAGAAGCATTGTTCATGTACTTGTTCATTCTTGCATGGACTGAAATTGTATGTCCAGTTCCATATCATGTCATGGTGTTGTTTGGATTCAGCTACTTTTCTACAGATCAATTACTGCAACTATTAAGTTGTGCCCTTGCAAGCGATTACTGAACTTTGATATGTTGTGCTCCACTTTTCAGCAGAAAACGAAGGTGAAAGTGC